TGTGTATGTGTGTGTGTGTGTGTGTGTGTGTGTATGTGTGTGTGTGTGTGTGTGTGTGTGCGTGTGTGTGTGTGTGTGTGTGTATGCGTGTGCGCGTGTGTGTACACTCTACTAACCATAATGCTACCGCGACGTGAATCGGGGCGAGTCGCGTTCAAGGTACGTGTACTAGATCCATACCATCCGAGAATCACCCACTAAGCATGCTCATGTTTCACCCACACCGGGACCGTTCAATCATCCAACAGCCTCAAAAACTTCATTTCACCTTATGACCCGACCAGGAGGATGTGAGAAAACAACTAAGTTTGTGGCTAGAACGGGTATAGTCTGCAATCACGACTCGTGAGGGTATGGTCGATTGGGGGCAAAGGGGGAAGGGGGAGGGAGGGCGAGGGGGAGGGGGGGGGGGAAAGGGAGCATCCAGTTTCTATAGACACCGTAGTCACGACCCATAGGGCATGCACCTCCACAACGCAGTGAGTAACACCAAACTTTGTAGAAACAAGGCAGCGAGGAGGATATACAGTCGTTAAGACTTCTACCCAATCCATCCATATTCCGTATACTCCTAGCTCGATGCCTAGACAGATAATGTAGGAAAAAAAACTCAGAAGTACTTGCAATATTCATTTTCATTCCGAGAAAACAACACTTGTAACCATAGGGGTGGAGAATGGGTATGGACATCAGAACGTTGCTTAATCATCCACCATCCAAAGCTTCCGTGAGAGCGCCGCATACATTTAAAAAAAAACGCCATCAGTAGACTTATTCAGGAGACACTTATACATATGGTTCCCCAAATACTTCGAAGCAGAATCACTCCATAAACGCCGAGGTGTCGAGGATCGAAACAAGATCCCAGCGATGACCGTACGCCTGTGACCTGACGACGCCAACGATACAGCTCATCATCTACACAATCTTCATAGAGTCGGGCGATCCCCAGGGATCATTAGATCGAGGGCAGTGTCCCATATTATTATCATTCACCAACTCCTCTTCCCATACCCTATCCTATAGCTTTGATCGTTTGAACGAATACAGATGGCTCTCCCATACGCCCCACACCATTCACGAATCTGAAATAGCGAAATGGCGAGACAAACCCTCGAGGAAGACAACCTCCTCACACGGTATTCTACACCCGGATCCATTCCACCTACTGGCGCCAATGAAGCTATCGAAGACATAACAGGATGCCACACTCGACCCTCTCCGTAGAATCAACATACTAGAGGATCCCCATTACGTTAAACGCCACCATCCAACAACACTTTGTCCTCAGGCTCGCAGTTCCCAAGATGCCATCCGTAAACCCTTCATCATCGCTCGCCCTCATGATCATTCCCATCCCATGGTCCTATATAATACAAGAGAACCTCCCGGAGCTCGTTGATGGAATATGGAAATTTGCGCACGAACTACACCTGTTATCTCGCCAAACCAATCCTTCGCCCTCCCACGGCCATAACAACCTTCCCCACAACTCCATCCTGTCACACGTAGCAGTCATACCCACACAGCCAATCCCTACCGACAGTGCTCCCCCTTAGGAAGGCTTGTGTAGCGCAATCAGAAGAAAAGAACCCTGGTCGGAGAAAGGTAACAGGATTTCGGCAAGACCAAGTGCGAAACCAGATGCAGAGGCAAAAAGGCAGGGCAAGAGGAGGATAGCGATGCATGCGCAGAGTAAGGGAGGCATGCTGGGTGAAAACAAGATGGTGGTCAGGAGGAAACGCAAGGCAGATAGGAGGCAAGGTAGCCGGAGCGTATCCCGCCCCTGCAGTATACAACAGTGTCATTCCGAACACTAGAGTAGCAATCATGTTCAATACAGCGACGATTATCAAGAACCGAAAATAACAATGAGCGGTATCCATTATACACGATGAGCTTAGGCCACACACTTCCGTAGAGAGGGAGCAACCGCCGTGGAGTTGGACAGTTGCAGGGCTCGGGTACAGATCACGCGTTGATGTGCGAGTTCCGGCAAGGCAAGAAATGTGAGGAATGCCAAGTATAGCAAACATCGTAACTATACACATGGAGAAATGCAGGGACTCCATGATCGCTCCATCTTGTGGCTCCTCATCGCCTCAACCCAGATCTCCTGAGAACCTCCTATGTGTTCTCATCCAACACATACATTCAACACACACAGGAAGGCAATAGCAGATGCAAACCACGGGTTAAGTGACATCGTTGGACAGGAGGGGGCTATCAAAGACACTGCAACCAGGGATTCCCGATTCGGCCGAGCGGCCCATATTGCCGACGAAAGAAAGATGGGTTCGGTGAAAATTTCCCTAAGGCCTTTTCGCCAATATTCACCAGATTGGCTCATCAGGGGGAGTAAGAAACCCTCGAGTTCAAGTTGTCGTTCCGAAAAGGAATACCCCACAATACCATGAGGGGCACCAGGGAGGGGAGAGGAGAGAAGATGGTGGGCATTCTCATACATTCGGGGAGAGGGGGAGAGGGGAGGGGTGAGGAGTGGCGAGGTGGGGATGGCTAATTACCGCTCCAGCCGGAGTTGATGAGGACGCAGCGTTCATTGTTGCTTCATTCTCGAGCTGCCACGTAACACACAGCGCTGACCCCCCGAGAGAGGAGCAAGCAGATGGCGGAGGGAGGGAGGGTGGTAAGAAGGTAGTAAGACATTATGCAGCAAGAGGGCGATAATCCTTGGCTGTGGCTCCCTGCAGGCGTCAACCCCAAGAGTTCCGTCGAAAAAACAGCAGGTGTACGAAGGAGCTCTGTGGACGGTAGCAGGGGCAGGGAGCGGAACGCCTCCGTGAACATTAGTGCGAGGCGTCGTTCACTGCCGCTGTTGTGAGTCCTTGAGGAAATGAACGGGCAGGATCATTCAATAAATAGGTCCATGGAATGATGAGACAGCGAGGGATCGTGAAGGGTGCCAAGAAGAGTTTTATCCGAGGTATCGGAATCTGGGGGGGGGCGGCACGGGGTCGGTACGGAAATGGTCACGGCGTCCCAGATTTATGTCGTTGGGTTGGGCTGCGCAGCTCCGGCAATCGTTTGGGCAGGGTTTATTACTCCCAGTGAGGTGGGGTTGCGCTGCTATGTCCCAGTTCCAAGCTTTAGTGGACACTGCCCATTTCAGTTCAATCCCATCATGTACCCGTTTCTGATTGCACCTTCAGCTATTGGAATCCCCATAGGGAATCAGAGAAGGGTTCCAGCCTTCCCATTCCTCCAACCCGGGTGTAGAGTGGAGTGATCCACATTAATAATGAACAATAAATAATAAACAATAAATAATGAATACTGAATAGTCAAAAGGGACCATCTGCATGTACGTGTGTGTGTGTGTGTGTGTGTGTGTGTGTGTGTGTGTGTGTGAGAGAGAGAGAGAGAGAGAGAGAGAGAGAGAGAGAGAGAGAGAGATGAAGTAGTTGCCAGGCGCGTAGCCATAGAGATGTGCTGAAAAGATGCACCCTATCGGTATGGGCATACAAAATTGTTTTTTGCTTGTACGCAACAGCAATCCGGTAGGGGCATACTGCAAATTTGGAACGGGTACTGGTAGGGGCATAACAAAAATATTTCAGGCCGACCAAAAGAGGTTGGGGGACCAACCGCTGCGCTTCCGCCGGCGCGTTAGCGTTTCAGACCAAGCACTAAGTCATAGGTAACGACGACTTCTAGACCAGCCATGTTCGGCGCCAGCACGACGTCAACACAGTAGAGATGACCCTTTCCTGTCCCGCCTTATCGGAGGGTCTCCATATCCAGCCCATGGGCTGGCTATGAGGATGGAGTCATAGTGGGCAGTCGGTCGTTCCCCTAATTTTATTTTATTTTCTCTCCTTTGGAGCGCTTCAGCTCTATAGTGGTTTTTCTATCTCCCATATTGTTGAACAAGGGTGTGCCACTTCGCGAGACTCGGTCCCCTCCGCCAAATCAGGGCACCGATAGTCTAAGAGAAGATGATGAGAGACTCGAGGAATTGATGCGGTTATGCTATATGGAGAGTCATATGGCACCAAACATTGACCCAGGAGAAATGATAGTAGAAGGTCATGAGGTACGGTCTAAAGTCAACGCATTGCTAGATCTCATCAAGATAGCATGGATGAAGGAGAACACTGTTACTGTGATTTTTCGGGAAGGCGCAAGGTTCTTACCAAAAAAGGTGAAGGATGACATAGTGAGAGCCTTTGAAGACGCTAAGGTACAGGATGGCAGCTTCGAGGCAAGCAGCTTCAGCAGTGGCAGAGTGAAAGTGGAAAGTCCCAACGTGGTCTCCTATGTGGCGAGATCTCGAGCCGCTGATGGATGGTTACTAAAGGTCGAGACGAAATCACGGTTGGACCGACCACTGGAATTCAAACCATGGTTGTCCAAACCCCAACTGAGGGAGCAACGGAGTGAAGACGATGAGCTAGTATCCTTTTGGGTGGTAGTTGTTCAAGTGTCACTTGACTCCTTCTTCTATCTGGAGGCTCAAATCACCAAGGCAATAGGGCGGATAATTCGAACTCACCGTACGGAGCCAGATCGGTTGAAGCCTTCCTTGGGAAATATCAAGTTTGATCTCGACCCAGCTGCTCGTCCCAACATCAAGGACAAGATCTGGGTCGAGACAGTAGAAGGAGGCAACCTCAAAGTGAAATTGACATCCTCGAAAGCCCCGAGGTGTCGTCGTTGCCACACCTTCTTCCACACCGACGCAGATTGTCGAAGAAATCCAAGACAGCAACAACAACAAGCAGGAAGTTAGCAACCTCAAACAATCTTCCAACGCTTAAGGCTACAGTGGTCCTATGGGCCCTCTGGGGGCATCTCCTTCTATGGCAGCTCTACATACCGTCCCTCCTCAGGCTCAAGGAGGCGGTCAACCTTTCAATACTGTTCAGCTCAATCTAACTTTCTCACCTTCGATTCAAGGTTTTAATGGAGTCCGGTCGCAAGTGTCGTTCCCATTCCAACAAAGTTATCCAAGTTGGACGGGGAACGCCTTTGTGTCATGGGCAGCCCAACAAGGGTTTCAGCAAGGCGATATTCCTCTTAATTACGGCGTGCCTCACCAACACTTTCAGCAAGGATCGGCGTACCCTTGGAGCAGGCGGTCCCCTATCTCCATCGGGATTGGGGGGCGAAACTGCATCCTTGGTTGCAGGTGGAGGCAATGGGATGAAGGGATTTGAACCGGCGGCACAGGAGGGGTAAGTGGCTTTCAAACTCCGACACCAGAGCAGGGGAGGTCGGGTGCCTCGGCCATTCCGAAAGCAAGATTTAACACTCCTGGTAAGCAACACCACCTGGATTTGGAAGGGAGCTTTGCAGCAAGTGACCTGAGGAGTGAAGTCTCTACGTCGTCAATTCCGAGATCAAATGACTCCCAAGGTCGGATCAAAGATGTAGGTACATCGGGCAGTTGTTCAACTAAACGACGAGCTCCGAAGTCGTTGGGTCGAGGTCAAATCCACCAAGTGGAGAATATAATTATTCCTCTGTTTTGAACTCTTGCTCGAAATGCCCTATGGGTACTGGCATGTACATGTGCAGAGGGTTCTCCTCAACTGGTAAGTATTTCTGGCCCTGAACAACCGATGTCATCTGTTATCGCCACCTTGGTCAGATCTGCAATCCAAGATCGGTTTCTATTTCGAATTGTCCCCGATATAACTATACCACGTATCATCGTTGAAGGTCCGAATGGTGGCAAACGTATTAAGTTTTTTGCCCCTATCATGGATGTATGACTTGTCGCCGGTCAACTCGAAAAACTAGAATCAAAGGGTATCCGTCCTCTCCCTCTTCATTGGCTTGGAGAATCCAAGAAGAGTGAACTAAGGATGATTAGGATGCCCCCTCTCCAGAATGTTGAATGCTTGGCAGATGTCAACAGTCGTTTGTTGAGGGAGAAAGAACTTTTATCTTCGTACGTTTGATCGATGTTCACCAAGTCGTGGCTGTTAAACCTGAGCCAACCCGGCTCGCAAGGCAACTCCCTGATTCAAAATGGGGCAGGTGGGACGGTAGCACATGGTTAAGTTAACATTGGGTCATGGAATGTACGGGGACTGAGGGATAATATAGGACACTTTAAGAGAGACAGACTTAAATCTTGGATATTCAACAATAACATCCAAGTTATGTGCCTACATGAAACTAGTTTATCTAAAGAAAAGTATTGTCTCTCACTAACTGATGGGATGGTCCACAGCTATGTACGTCGGCAGTCGGATCGAAAGACGTCATGACGATTTTTATTCACAGAAGAGCAGAGATGGAGATAGTTGACTTCTATGCCGATTTGTGGGGAAGATGGGCGGGCCAAATGTTTCCTTGATAATGCTTACTGGGTTATTATTTCTATTTACGCTCCAGAACCTAATGATAGGAAATCTCGAACTCAATTCTTTCAATAATTAATTTTGATTGTACCGGAAGCAGACAAATTCGTGTTTGCAGGTGATTGGAACACAATGTTGGATGCTTCCACTTCATGGTCAATCAATGATAAACTCAGTTTATTAACCAGAATGGAAGCATTTGACCTTACTGATCCATATGGAATATCTCACCTGGACCTCCCAGGTTATACCTGTTTCTCGCACTATAGGGAAAACCCATGTACCACTAAGAGGAGGCTTGATTTTTTCTCACCTCGTCAATCCTATGGGAATCGATAGGTAAGATAAGTGTATCGTCTGGCTCATTATCGGACCACAAACCTATTATGATTACCCTTCTTACTTCGGAAGTGGCGAGAGGGAAAGGGTTATTCAGGTTCAATACCATTAACATGAAGGATCCCGGGTTGGTTGCTTGGATGGAGCAGTTTTGGCGCGATTGGAGTAAGGCCCGACTGGACTACTCTTCAACTGCTGAATGGTGGAAGTCTGGCTCTCGTATGTTCTTTGACTTACTAAATGTTTTCTCTCGCCTGTTAGCATTTAACTGAGGCTGAAAAGTTGAAACAATTAAAAGTCGAATAGCATATGGTGAATCCTGCATGATGGAACACCTAGTTTCCGAGAAGGTTTAGGACAAGGGAAAAAAAACAGGCTACTAACAGAGTGGGAAGAGCTGAAAATCTAGGAATCAAACTTGAAAGTCTGGATAGAGCGGTTTCATGTTAAAGGTATAGTAGTTCACGATTAGATGACAAAGGATTTTGTTATAAAAATTTTCCACGTCGTTCAGCGATCCAAATGAAAGAGCTTAAACATTCATTTGACGATTTAGCACTGATAGTCAAAAATATAAAACAACTCTGTGATTATGTTGTTCTGTATTACAGAGACACCCTCACATCTCGCCTCCAAGAGGCCAATGTAAAGGCCGACCTGCACAAGACCACAAATCATTGGGTCAACACGATAGTCAAACTCTCAGGGGGCGGGATATTAGATCTTGATAGGCCTATCACCTCGCTAGAAGCTCACGAAACCTTAAAAGCAATGGCGTGTAGTAAAGCTTCAAGCGACGATGGGCTACCAGTGAAACTATATTTAGTGATATGGGATGAGGCTGGGGACAGACTCGTCGAAATCTACAATGAAATTTTAGTAGGAGGGAAATTAGCCGTTAACATGTCGAGAGGTATAATTTTCGTTATTTTCAAAAAGGGAGTTAGATCTGAAATTAGGAATTGGAGGGTTATTTCGGTCCTAAATGTATCATACAAAATCCTCACTAAAGTTTATGCGAGGTGTCGGGGTCGTTATTTACTCGATTTGGTCAAATCGGACCAAGCAACCTTTATTAAAGGGCGGTCCATATTAGATAATATAATGACGGCCATGATAAAGACGTTGGAAGTCATTCAGGACAACCAAATGAATATGGCAGTCCTCTTATTAGATCTGAAGAAAGAGAGAAGGTTAACAACAGTCGTATTTCTCATCACCACTTCAGGACACCCTTCACCACTTCAGGATGCAGTCTACCTAAACAAGTGGTTTTCAGGGTCTTCGGACCTTTCACCACTTCAGGACCATTCAGGTCCGAAAATCCTGAAAAGACCATTCAGGTATGAAAATCCTGAATGGTCATGAAGTGGTGAAAGGTCCGAAGACCCTGAAAACCACCTGTTTAGGTAGGCTGCATCCTCAAGTGGTGAAGGGTGGTTTTCATGGTCTTCAGACCTTTCACCACTTCAGGACCATTCGGGATTTTCAGACTGCCCAAAACTCTCACTTGACCACTTCAGGACACCCTTCACCACTTCAGGATGCAGCCTACCTAAACAGGTGGTTTTCAGGGTCTTCGGACCTTTCACCACTTCAGGACAATTCAGGATTTTCAGACTGGTCAAAACTCTCACTTCAGAATTTTCATTCCTGAATTTTCAACTACCCGATAACCGCTTGTGTGAAGAAAACATATGACTGTGTCAACTAGTCATATGTTTTATCCTCCTTGGATTGGATGGGATTTTGAAAGAACTTTATGTCATGGGTCACTATTTTATACACACTCTCTCCACGATAGCGGTGTTGATTAATAGTCACTTATCTGAAGAATTTCCTTTGTCTAGATCTCTCCGCCAGGGTTGTCCCCTAGCTCCATTCCTATTTGCTCTCCAAAATAATGAAAATTACAAGGGCGCCAGACAAATTTTCCCCAAACAAAAAAGGAGAGATTCTCTTTGGAATTTCACCTCAACTTTGGGGTCTGTGTCCAGTGGACAAGGCTGGCGAGTGGGTCTGAAAAGAGCATGTGGGGTGAGTTAAACTCCAACAGCATTCGTTAATGTCATGAAACATATGAAGCATATCCAGTGTCGGTCAATAGGCCTATAAGATAGATACATCAAAAACTCAAGCATGACCAGACGAAGATCAAAAACATATACTAGAACGACCACGTACAAACGAGAAAACTAAGGAGACCAAGAGAGTAAGAAAGAGATAAGAAAAAAAATGAAAACAAGAGAGAGAGAGAGAGAGAGAGAGAGAGAGGAGAGAGAGGGGGGAGAAGGAGAATGCGAGAGACCAGACACATCAGCGTCTCTAGAACTCGACATAATAAGCGTTTAATGCAAAAGCAATGAAGTACAAGCCCATCGAACTCATCCCGAAAGGAGGCGTCATGCCCGTAGTGATAACTCATGGTCAAGCTCTTTCGGCAATGACCCTACATGTTTCATTTGGAGCTGCTTCCATAATTGTCAGGGGTCGTCATCATACAATCGAGTGTTTGCTAATGTACTAATTCCTCAATTTAAGGTAAGGAGACAGATGCTCAATAACCGAAAGGGGCATAGTCAAAAACCCGGCACCCAAGACTCCAAGAGAATGTCGAAGCGCAATAGCAGAAAGTGACAGAAAAGAAAAGTTTGGAAAAACGAAGAAACAAGAAACACTTAGCCAAGACAAGGTCGGTGGATCGAGAACCGAGATCTGAGGAAAGGAACAAACACATCCTAAGAAGATGCAGGTCCTAAACTCAAAACCAGTGAAAAGTACCAAGTTTGAATATCGACAAAAACAATTTTGAATCGGGTTCGACTATCAACAAAAATCGGTCTAGCCCCCAACTGAAAATCAAACGCCCTAATATCCGCACAGCTAAGGTACCTTGCTCGAACTAAGTCAAGAAATCATGCCCCACCCTGCCAAACAAGCCGACCAGACAAAGGCCAACCTGAACCAAACTGCGTTCGGAAGCAGTTATCCCACCCAGTTGAGCAATCTACCCAATCATCCACAACCCACCAAATTTCAAAGAAAAAACACATAATATCTTATCGAATATTTCATTCGGACATCCTTGAATTCTGAACTCCACTTTCAATGTGAAGAGAATGCTCACCTCGGCGGCAGGCATGCTCATAAACCTTTTGACACGATGCATAAAAGAACCAACCACAACCATTTTCTGCCTCTTACTGACACAAACCCTAAGTCAAGACCAATCTTTGGTTCTTGTGGACTGCAACACATCGGACGTTCACCGACCATCCAAAATCTCGAACGACACACCCAAAAAATCCCACAATTCAGACTTGTTAGTGCATTCCAATAATAGGTTGGAATCGTAGCAGTTCTCAAAAGCAGTGGGGATCCCCTCTGCTTTTCCCAATGAATTGTAGTTATTGATTTGATACTTAATGAAGACAGACACATCATCAATAAGGCGGATGACATGGACAAACAGACGGTCATTGCCCAAGGACGTCAGAAAATAGAACTCGGAATAAACGCATAAAACGCAGGCAATGGTTGTGCTTGAGGGCTTGCCCATTGGGATACCCACATCCTGCTGCAATATCACCCC